AGCCTTTCTGCTGGCTGTTAGCCGAGCATGCTTTGAGAAGACCGCTTGCTCTTCTTGCCTGCTTGAATTTTTTTAATTAAAAAAAAAAACCAATATCAACCTCGGAGCTCAGACTGAGGAAGGGCAAAATAGGTTTTCCTGTCTTTTGGCGAGAGGGAAAGGGGTTGCGCTGAACTTGTTCTGGTGACCCTGCCTGTTGGCTTGGTTTTAATTTATTTAAAATGATTTCACTGCCTTAGCATTATTCTTTCTTCACTGCATACATTGCAGCTCATTTAACCTTGCTTGGGATGTTTTTCCTCCATGTAACAGTAAAATTCCAGGACATGCTGGTGCAGTGATTGATGTCCCATCCTTATAATATCTGAATGGGGGGGGTAGAGTGCTTTGGTGTGTCCAGCATGAGAATTCAGCTAATGAGGGAGCTGTAGTGGACTTATGGCCTAAAGTCACAGAATGCAATAAATCGTGGGCCCCCGTGTAAAGCACAGTGGCTAACCACGTCTTCGAGAGCGTGCTATTAATATTTAGAGAGGGCGAAGATGACAGGAGGTGGAATGCATTTCAAGAGATAATAGAAGCAATTTAATAAACTCCTTGGGACAGAAACAGGGTGCAGAAGCCTGCTTTTCTATAACGAGCAGAGGGGAGGGTGGGCTGGGAATAGAGAATCTTCTGTGTACGTGTGGTGCAGGGAGCTGGGGGGGGAGGAGAAGAGGGGAGAGAGTTGGAAAGTGTAGCAGATGGGATGAGTCCCGAGACTCTCGTCTGGGCGTCTTATTTCCGACGAAGCAGCACGGATTTACGACTCCGCTGCTTTCATCTGCGCGGCACTGGTGTGCTCGCGTGGGGAAACTCCCAAGCGTGGGATCCAGCAACGGGAGAGCACTGGGTCCCGGCAGCCCAGGAGCGGGCCGGCATACCGTCTTGTCCCATCAGCAGCCAGCGCCGAGTGCTAATGTGCGGTCAGCTTCGCTCGGTCTGTGCCCTGATGCTGCTTACTCTCCCTGTGGATCTCTGGGCTTTCCGCGAGATTCGAAAAAATTCAGATCGTGCCAGGCTACATCGTCTCCAGTTCATTAAGATTTTCCGAAAAGAGGCGGCAGGAGAATTCAAACCACCAAGCTATGTTTTAATTTGGTATTATCTCCTCCCTGGTGCTTCCCACACTCCCAGTGCTGTTGTAGCCAAGAGTGGCCGATAACCGAAAGCGAGTCTTTCCGCAGCTAGGTTGGTTTGTTGATGACTGCTACTGTAGCGTATGGCAGTGGCCTGAGATTTAAAAATGGAAAAGCAGCCCTTTGCGATTTCTGTAGCTTAATGCACCTCGGCAACAGTGACAAACTAATTCCAATCAGATTTAAGAACCTTAAGTGTTTGCCTTATGTGCACTGTGCAGCTGCATTGTTTGGTGGTAATCTTTTGAGAGCAGCCCCTGTACAATGGGCTGTATAAAATGGGGGGTATTTTATATAAAATGCAGCACTGCATAATTGTCCCATTTATACTTTGCTCTCCTCTCTAACTCATTCCATTCCATCAAGTCTGCTGTAGGTGAAGGGAACTTCTGTGAATGACGCACATGTATAGAATCCGACTCAACTCCGTTAATCCTGGGCAACGTGAAGCCCAAGCAGACTTCCTTCCGGGCCTGCACCGTGTCTATTCCATCTCACTAACGGACTTCCGATGGGTTTTCATGCCAGAGGTTTCATTTTCTCCATGCCACAGTCATTTCTTAAACCTTTTTATTTTCCCCCGTTTGCACCAGCTCCTGAAATGTAACATTTTAAGCTATTTTGTTCATTTGTATGGATAATGTGAAATCCTTTTATGAGTTGAGAGCATTTGAATCGTAATTGAGCAGTTTAAGATGCTTAATTGTTTAATGGCTCAGCTGTTGGAGGAGTCCTCAGCACTGGCTGGCAGAAGCACCGATTTTAGCGCCTTAGTAACTTCCCTAAATGACCGATGATAAGCTGTCAGCACGTGATGTCTTACAACACCACGATCCTGTCGGATTTTGTCCGGATGCGGTTATCCTTTCATTGCTGAATTTTGTTCTGAGGTGCGAACGCCATTTCTCTAGCTATAATTCCCCAAGCCACACTTGGCACGCCCAGGACATCTCACTCGCTTGTTCGGCTGAGATACAGGGCGTTGGGTGACTTTCGTCTACTGTCTTCCAACGGCGCGTGCCCAGTCGTTTTACAGCTCGGAAACGGTTCAGAAATGGCATTTTCCTACAGATAGGAGCGAACAAAGGCAGCATGCATTTCCAGAAGGGAATTGGAAACTTTTCCCCCTCCTATTCACGACGCTCTTCCAACATCACTCCATTGGAAGAATAGCTAATGGTTACTCGACCCTGGTAATAGTACAGGAGGAACAAGGGCTGCCCACGTGTTTCTCTTGACGTGAGCCCAGCAGCCAGTTCTCACGTTGTTGTAGCTCCACAACACCTTCAGCCGAGATTAAATGCCGCGTGGAATTTGCCGGCTTGTTTGGGCTTATTTCCCTTTCCTTGGCTCTTACAAACACCAAATTAAAGTATATTCTTTCCAACAAGCTCTGCGTACTGAACATCATGCCGTCTCTCCTCAGCCTGCTGTTTAAGAAATTTGCTCCCTTGTTCCCGACTAAAGAGCTCTTAACGGGCAAAGGATTAAGAGTGAATGAACAGGCACAGGCGGGAGTTGCTTTGCATCAAAACACTCTCACGAGGGGTGTGTGTTGCTCAAGTCCAGTTGGTCGCGCTTCCTGAAGAGTTCATGTCACGAGGGCACGGCTCAGTGAAGGGAGTTTTGAAACTCTGGCGTTGGCACAGGATGGAGACGAATTACCAACCCCACGCAACTTGAGAAGAGGTGAAAGAAAATTGAAAAGCACACCTAAAACAGAACGTTGAGACAAATGTCTTGGGGATTAAAACTTGAGTTTGAGTAACAACAGGAAAAGGCAGTAGTACCATCCAGGGCCACTTTGGAGAAATGTTGACATAGGTGGGTCTGCTTGATATTCTGGAATGAACATTAATGTGATTTGAGGTGAAGGCAATACTTTTTTTTGCCTTACCTTCCCCTTTCATGAGTCAAGTAACTGTAGAATGATAATTTGCTATACAATATCTTTTGGATCTAACACAAGCTGTCAAGTAGAATATAGGTGGCAGAGAACACAACAGTGTAATGGATTTCCACTGGTATGACAGCAGTGTGGTAGTTACATGGGGCAAGTCCTTTTGGGGCTGATCTCTTTTTGCCATTTTTTCAGGATATTTTAAGGAAAGGTGTACAAAGCATATTAACATTAAGCAGTCAAATAAAGCGCCATTTATACACTTCTGGATGAAACAACCTACAAACACCACCCCATTGTTCAGTCTTTTAAGTGAAGCTTTATTGTCAATCTTTAATGATAATTTTATAGTTTCAGTTGTTGGGGTTGGAACAGTATGAAATTAAATTACATTTATACTGAAGACATTAAACGTTCAACAGACAGGTCTTAGAACATGTTTTGTTTTTAATGCCTCTTGGAACAGATAGTGCTTTGCATCCTATAAGATCCCAAAGTCTTTACCTGTAGGAGCAGATTGGCTTTGTCTTTGATTGGTTTTGGCGGTGAGGGTAACACACAGTAGCCACCATGCACAAATACACCACAGACGAGGAAGCAGAGGAGTGAGAAATTGCTTCAGCCATTGGTTTAACGTGCAGCCCATGGTAGGCTAGGCAGCACACCCCTAGCCTGTAGGCTGACCCCTGTTTAAAAGCCTACCTGTGCCCTTGCTTTACATTTGAACCCTTGTCCTACTATCTCCTGGCCCTGGGGAAAAAGGGGAACTAGACTCGACCTTTTTGTGGATAGTGAAAGATGTACCTTCTATAGAGTCCTGAGCTCTAGAGAGACTTGCTTTGTACAAAGCGCATAACTTACTTCCTCTCAGATCTAAGCAACAGGGCAGCCCACTGTACAAACTGACCTTTAAATCCAAGATGGCAAGTGAGAGGAAGTCATTGGGCCCATCTGGCTTGTTAGTTTGTTAGTAGTTAATTGATCCAAGGATGAAATCCAGCTTTTTTTTTTTTTTTTTGAAAGATAACAACACGGCCGGGTATGGCTTGTTCCATACTTTCCACAACCCCTTCTGGAAAGTTCCTTTGTCTCCACGCACCTTCTCTTATTGACCTGTTCGTGTCCTTTGGGTAGTGTTTAAATGTTAATTTGGGAAAAAAACGAGTTAACGTAGTCGCAGCTCTTAAGGATTTTGAATATTTGAAGGACCCTCTCGCTGTCTTTTCCGAATAAGAATAAAAAGATTCAGTATTTTAGCCTGTCTGAGCAGGACATTCTTTTTGAGCCGAGGAATGTACTTGGTAACCCTCCTTTAGACTGATTTCAGAGCGGTAATATATTTTTTGTGATGTGGCGACCTAAAGGTTACACAATATTGTAAATCTTTCTAGTGTTTTGTGCACTTTTAACATACTATTGCTTGATTTAAATTCCACATATCTAACAGGACAGCTTAGTATGGTTTGCCCTTTTTGTTGCTTCCCCATATAAATCTTACGAACGCCTAACTTTTTCATAGGTAGCTTCTTTTAGCTCCTCGTCTTTCATTTTGTAGTTGTTTTTCATCTACATGTAACACACTCTTGTTTTTCGCTTTTCGAATTTCCCGTGCAGCTTCTGTGGTGTTTGCTCATCTTCCTGATTTGATATAACCGGGCACCATGAGTAGTTTGCTAGTGGGAAAACAAAGTTGTATTAGAAGTGGAGGTAGCTTTTCCAGTCAGCGCAACTAGTTGTCTGGCTGTTGGTCCTAATGCCTGCTACTTTTCAGTTTACAGAACTTCACATTTTTTTCAGTGAAATTGACTATCTCTTAATGATAATGGTCACGCTGCCCAATTCCAGTCTGGGGTAATTGTGAAACTTTGAAAGATCTTTGGCGCCAACAATTTCCAAAGAGAGAAGCGGAAACCTGTAGTTTCTGACTTGGCTTGGAACTGCACATGTCGAGTGTGGGAAATTTTAAATTGGTGATTTATTTGGAAAGATACCACGGTCCAGGTGTGGTTGAAAAGCCACATCACTTTTGTTCAGCTTTGTTAGGATGAACTAAAATGTAGGGCTATTGACTGCAGCATCAGAATTCAGAATTTTTTCCCTGATTGTAGGGAAGGTTAAAATCAACACACTGGTCTTTACTGACCAACATGAGGAGTGTATCCTGCTTTTTCATTGTTGGACAGGAAATATTTAAAGATGTGAAGCCTAAAATACTTTAGTGGACTGCCAATTTTATTTTTTTTTTGTCCCTACCACACCTAAAACACAACTATGTAACCGTTACATGAATAACTTGACTTCAGCTTCAGGAACCTTCTTTGATAATTAAAAAGCTTTTGTACTTCTTTCCTTATCTGTAGGTAACATTTAGCATGTTGTACCTCATGTCTGTAAACTGAGCAAACAGTGTAATGTTAAATGTGTTTAGTGAGTGTTTGTGTCGTCACTTTTTCACTAGTCTTATCTTTGAAAGAGATGAAAATTCACCACTCTCTGCCGACTTCACTGGAGACGCTCTTTTTTTTAAAAAAAGGAGACCAATTTCAAACTTCTTTTAGCTCTAGAGGGCAATTTCCTCGTGAATTTCAAATCATATCTTGTGAAGTTATAAAAGAAAAGGTCTTTTAGCTACATTTTTGCTCTGCACTAGATTAGATTCAAAATATCAATATACTGAGAAGAATAACAAATGCAAAAAATGAGTATTGGAACCAATAGTTTTAGTTGAGTTATTAATGCCTCTGTTTATTTTCATTAAAGGCATAAATGTGTAATATTAGCTGAATTTAACTGAATTTCTTGGTTCCTCCTGCTTTTGCTGTAATAGACTTTAAGTTCAGACTCTTGGTTTTTTTTTTTCTGATGCAGAAAGCAATGGAGCCATTGATGGTGTTAAGTAGGTCAAAAATGATCATCCAGGTGGGGGCTGCACTTTGGTGGTGGGGCAGAGAGGAGTCCTCATTACCTGTGAAGCGCTTTGAGTGGAGTGTCCCGAAAAGCACTTGTGAAGTGTAGGAATAATCATTATAATGGTTTGCTTTTCAAAACTCTGCTGCATGTTAAAACTAAAGAGTAAAGAGTTATTATTCTAATAGAAGTAATCACTCTGCTGTGCTTCCTTGTTTATCACCATGTACAGTCTAACCCACGGGTGGTGCCATTTTGATGAGAGGCTGGGTTGGCCTTGTCTCCTCATCTGGTTTGCTTTTTTTTTTAATCGTGTTTTTTTTTTCTTCCCTCACCCCAGAAAGACGCTGTGTTTCCTCACGGTGAAGGCCACTCCAATCAGCTTTCCCCCGGTGGCTGTAATGCGCTGACACACCAGTATGGGCAGGCGTTTCCCGGGAGCATACTACCCTCCTCACAACTCCTGTACGTACGCCACCGGTTCCTTCACTCCGTTGCGGTCAGTACAGGCTCCGTGCGAGTGTCCGGGCCAGGGGATCCCAGTTCTGGTCCTGGGGGCCCACACGCCTACTGGCTTTCACTCCAGCTGAGCTGAATGACCTCATCGAAGCCTCAACGGAATATTGGAATGTCTACGAAGTTTGAGATTTTATAATATAGGTAAAAGGCGAGGTCCAACATGTTTGAGAGCTGAAAACCTGAGGGCTCAATTGTGGGACTGAGAGCCGGGCTGGAACAGAAACCAGCAGTTGTGTGGGACCCCAGGGACCAAGAATGAGAACCCCGAAGTCCAGGTTTGCACGTGAGAAGGGGGGAGGAGTTGATTCAGCGGAGCAAAATAAATAACTCTGTGGTGCTGTTCTGACCTCTTTCCCATGGACGGCCAACAGGGGGAGCAGTGTGGCCCTGGTGCACAGCATGGAGGACCAGGCCAGTGCTGTGAGCTGATAAATGAGAGTTGCTCTGTCTTGTCAAATTCTTGAGTAATATTACAGATACTTCAAATGTTTTCTTTAACTGCATTGCTGTTTTTTTTTTTTCCAGATTTGCCCAGGGACTGTTCAGTAGCCCTAAAGTATGTTTGTTATGTAAAAACAGTGCTCTTCATTTAAGGAATCGGATTTGTCATTTGTCATTTGGGCACATTTGGCTGAGTGAAACGTGTTGCTCTTGCCTTTAGCACATACCTGTTTTTTTTTTTTAATAATCACTACTGATCACTACCAGTGAGTCACTGCAACTCCAGTATACCTGGATGTTTCTCCTGTACAGCTACTGCAGTTTGCTGTTGGTATTTAACAAAACGTTGTTTCCTGTTTCATGACTTCATCTGAACTTCAGGACTTAAAAAGACACTGATTTATCTCCGCCAGAAAGTTATTTTCTTTCCAAACTGAGACAGATCTCGGTTTCTGATGTGAAAAGAACCCTCCCTTAGCCTTCTTGTATCTGTGAATCTTGAGATTGAGGGGTCATGACCCTTCAGTTTCCTGTACACGAAATAACAGCTGCGTTGGCCAAAGAGCATGAAGAACAGACTACAGTTTGCACAAATATCTCTCGTGGAGTTGTTCTTATTATTAGTTTCCTTTTGAAGCCTCTGATGAAGGTTAAGGCTTCTGCATCTCATGGGGATTTATTTTACACCGACACAACCTGACAACGCCACCATGTCTTATGGGAGACTAGGGCTGGGTCTGAGAAGCAACATGTCTCGCTGACGTCAGCAAGCATGAAGCAGAGCTGCTTCTACTGGTCCTGCTTTGCCACTTACACCCATTCTTCACGTCTCCTGACACAGTGGCTTCTGCTGCGGAATTGCACTGGAAGCAGCAATGTACCAGTCGCTCATCTTAAAAAGAATCCACTGCTCAAAACGGAGTGGACGTCAGTTCATTATCCCACGTTGTGCGTCTCTTAGAGAAGAGATTCCGTTGTGTGGTTTCAGAAACTGAAACCAGTTTTCAGTTTACATTGTGTGGGTCCAAAAACTGAAAATCAGTCCAGATGTACAACAGGAGCAGGCTTGGCTATCACAGGGAGGAGCAGTATGGAGGTCCTGTCTCCAGGCTGCTTCAGGAAATCAAGGGTTGCAGCTACAGGACAAAAAACATTGATATTCCGTAGTACCGTTTCCTTGCTCTTTTATCCTGTTATCCTTCAAGATAAGTGTAGCTTTCGTATCACTGAATTAACCCTCAGGGGGTTCCTCTTGCTGGTTAAGGAATAAGCACTTACAGTATGTCTCGATGAGCCTGGTTAAGGTTTTTGGTTAGACCCTCCGTGTTTGCAGTCAGTCCTGTTAAACCAGTTCCAAATATTTCAAAAATATTTTGGTTAATAGCTGATTAAACCAAAGAAGAAAGTCATGGGGAAATGTCTTTAATTGGTATTCTGAGTTGTATTTTTTTCTCCTGTTTTTAGGATTTATTGCAGCGGTTGGGGTTTTATTTTCCATTTCAGTCCGTGGGCCGAACTTTTTTTTTTCATCAAAGGGAGAAAGGATTTTCTCTAAACATACTTTTTTTTTGTTCTTTTGGAATCGAAGTGTATTCCTGTGACCTTGTGAACCAGCAGGTAAACCCAAACTGACCCGGACACATCTGGTTCATTTGCTCGTTAGTTTGATCCTCGTTAGCCTGATCCGCAGCAATTAAATTCAGATCTAAGAACTTGAAGAAAATGACACCGGCCCCCAAGGGAGGTCATTGCAGCACAGGCCCAAATGAGGGGGATAGAATGTGAGGTGATTGGTTTCTGCGATTAGAGCTAATCATTTAAACAGCACTCTGTGCTGGCAGTGCGCTCTGTGGAATAACATCTTACATTTTTGTGACCTGGGAGTGTTTAATTCTTGTAAGATTGTTAAAAGAATGTAGGGTCTGACCTACTTTTACAGAAGCGTTTATTGTCGGCAATTTTATTCGGAGTGGGGTTTGTCATCGGCAGTGGCTTCATCCCTGCCGGGCTCACTGAGGGATCGAACTGGCCCACCCAGTCTTCAAGTCCTTAACATGTGGATCAGGCCGCTCCTGTGAAACTTGATCGGAATAATTTAACGAGCGCCTCTGCTTGCCGATTTTCGGGATGTTCGGCAGTAATGTGGATCAGTCACAACAGCTGTTCCAAGTTGTGTTTTAATGTAGAGCATGCTGCCATAGTCGGTAATATTGTATCATTGCATTACCCAGCAGACGCAGTGTTGATTAGTTGTCTCCGTCGTTTTGATCGTTGTCATGGGACAGGTTTTATTGTCAACTCGAAAACGAGGTTGCTGGCAACTCACTTATGAGGGAGATACCACTAAGAGAGAGAGCTGATTTGTCTTTTTGTTCTGTAAAGACTTGCAACTTATATGTTTGACCCCGATATATCAGTTTGTACTTAATTAAAAATCCTATTGGATAAAATGGCTCATCCCCTAATTATGCTTGTCTCTTTCTTTATTTAACCAGGGATTGTCTGAGAATCCTTCCCAGGTCACCTTAAAGAAAACTGGCCGTGTAATTCAACTTTGTTTCTTAGGTTTATGGTATTATTAGTAATTTACGGCAATTCCTCCTATGTTCGGTTGAGTCGGAAAAATTGTTGACTATAAATGTCAAACCAGAAATGGAAATAACCCTCCAATATACAGTAGGTGCAGTTTTCACCCATTTGTAATTTAAGCCAGCTGCAGGCTGGTATATTGAAGCAATCACTGGGCGATGATTATGGACATTTCATGCTTGTTAACCTACAGTAGAAATGTGATTAGACGTGCACAGTGTTTTAAAGTAAATTCAAAAAATTTAAAATAGTTTTACTCATGACATTAATATCTGCCTTCAGATTTGTTGGTTTTCCGGCCTGTATGATTTTGTTTCAGTCAGGGATTTTTTTGTAATTTGACTTTGCTGCTGATCAAACATGGGTTGTTTTTTTGCTTCTTCAGTAATGTACGTAAGAAGAGGGGTATGTGTGTTTGTCTTGCACTGAGATCCAAGATATGATATGATATGATGATGTGGTGTGAGATAATCTTCTGTGGACGGAGCAGATCTTGAAAGACTTTCTACACATCGCTCAGCAGAAGCAAATTCTGTTCCTTTCTGTCGTAAAGTTTCAGTCTTCAAATGCAAGTGTCTACACAGGTTAGGTTAGGTTACCATTGCTTTTTTCAATAAAAGCTTTGATAGTGGAGAGAATATCCAGCTGGTCTGAGACAACTGCTTCTTAGTATTAGGCTTTAATTCTTCACTTCAGTTTACTGGTCTGCCAGTAATGGAGGCAGTGTGACATGTCACTCTGAGGCATCTAACTGGGAACTTCAGAAGCGCTGCCTTTTTGATTTAGGCTGGTAATGGCCAAGTGTAATTGCAGAGATGGCCTTTTGTGTTTCTCCTGTCTTGAGAATATTTGTCTTTACGGACTGAGAGATGAACCTTCGAGAGTATAACCTTTTTTTTTTTTTTTGGTGTGAGGTATAGTTCCTATCCTGTGGCTTGACAGTGCGTGAAGTCCTTGATCCCTCAAGCGTGTAGTTTAGCCCGTCTCATCAGTTCGGAAAATGAAGAGCCGGTTCTGTTCCTGCTCACGGCGGCGTTTCTTTCCCATTTTTTCCTGAGCGGAGCCACCTGTCAATACCTTTGATCCAGGCGGATAGAGCATATCCAGACTGTAGACTGTGAGGGAGATCAAAAGCTGTTGGGCTGTGTCCCCTTGGAGCTCGGATGCCACCTGAGACGCAGTGAGGAGGAATGCTTGTCTCTGATCGCTTGTCCCATTCTCAGACAAGAAAGGGAGGGCAGGGGATATACTCTAGTCGGTGCCGATTTGGGCCAAATTTAAAACTTGTGGATATCTGGTGAGCCATCTGAACACTTAACTTTGAGATGCAAAGCCTGTTAGAATATCATAGCCTTGAATCTTTTCGTTTACGACCCCCTGCAGTTGCTCGATCTCGTCTTCCAGATAGCCCAACTGTGTTGGAACCAGAGCAGCAGAGCTGAGTATATAAACCCTTGACTAGACATGGTAACACATTTTAATTAAGGTGGCAGGCATCAATTATATGCATATGTATGTTCTTCGTCGGTAATCAATATAACATGCATTGGCTGGAGAGGAAAGATCACATTTTGAAGCAGACTTGTGTTATTTCCATCCCAGATTAAAATGTAGATTGCAGCTACTTTTCCTGGGATGGTGCAATACACTACTACTCCAGTCGTGTGCAGGTTTATTAAAACACTTCCTGGGCAGATGGATTTACTTCCTTCCTTCCTTTTATTGTCCCAGATGGGGAAATTTGCTTTGCAGGCGGGTAAAAGACATAACACAATATACAATACATTTAACACAACACGAACCCCTTGACAAATAAGAGACATAAATTAGAAGTTAATTGGCTACACAGAGGGAGTTTAACAGGAATAATAATCTGAGGTAAATGATAATGTATCTCAACAGCATTCACTGATGGTCTTGTCGTAGTAAGGCATGGCACCAGCATAAACTTGCTGTTCCTGTTTCGTCTTTATGAACACTTTACGAAGAACATACATCTTTTGTATAGTATGTGTTAACACCACGTTTTCAGTGTGTGAATTCTGGACACTCTGTATCTGCTTTTATGAGGATCCCCCATCAACTTTTCTGAAGCGTTAGCAAATTCCACCAGCAACATTGTGAAAAACAACAACTCATGACTCACAGTTGACCTCCACAGGTGGTTCCCTACCCTGGTCCTGGAGGAACACTGTCTGTGAGTTTTCATTCCAGAGGAACTCTGAATGTGCCGTGCTAATTGATGGCTTAATCTCCTTGCTTGTTCAGACTTGTATTCAACTTGTTTCTTCAGTCAGCTCCGAGTGTCAGAAATACTACGCTTTGAGGGTCTGGTTTCCAACAACTTTAGCGATAAGAACATTACACAGGCTCACCTCTCGCTGGCTGTTACTTCTGACTAAATAGATCTTACTTGTGGAGGCATCAGAAACACCCAAAGGAAGCCTTGTTTTCCTTCTACAGAGGTTCATTAAGTCACTTTTCAAGCAGCACGCCTGAATAAGGGCATTTCTGAAACTCTGAAATCGATACTGGGTTGAAAATCTAATTTTGACCTTTTAAGAGCTGTATGTAAGTATGCCCCAAATCCAAAGCAGAAATCATTTAGCCTGTGATTATGAACTTGGCCTGAGCAAAAGCCAGAAGCCATAGTTTTCCTCTTAAGAGTTAGTTTGGACATCGCTGTCTTACACTGATGAGCAGCTGTGGATGCTCACTGCTATAACAGAGCAAGCTGAACCACCTGAGCCAGGTCAGAAGAGGCTCAACCCTTATGCTCGACTCAGCTGATGGCCCAGGTTCAGGGCCTTAACGTCTGATTGTTTCTTTTATTTAAAGTAAAACTTGTCAATGCTGCAGTACTGCAAAAAGCCCGTAACTGTAGGCTGTTCATGAATAACTACCAATAAAAAGATTACAGTTACAGAAAATGATCTGAAGATCAGCCTTTTGTTAGTGGTCAAGTTTTAGTTAAAAATCTAGGGGCTGTCAGGAATCAGGCTGAAAAGAGCATGTTTTCCCTCCAAAGCTCTCGCTTTATGTGAGCTCGGAATTGAAAATGTCTTGCAAAGCTTCAGATCGATACAAAATAAAAGTTCCTCCGACATCAGTCATGCATTCAAAGCCTAGATTTTTCTGTAGACGGGAGGCAGCTCTGTGGTCGAGCTGCCCGGGTCCAGAGAGAGGTTTGCTCTCCCTTAGTCCACTTGTGAATCACTGGCTGCCATGCTGCACCAGCAACTTGTCCTCTTTGTGCTCCAGCTGGGATTCAGTCCTCAGCGCACCTTCTATTCAGGTTGCTTTGGGCAAAAGCCTCATTTAAGAGGACTAACTGGTCAATGATTTCTGGTCTCGAGAATGCCTCCAAGCACACCATTAAATGCAGAGAAGCCCTGTGCTCTGAAGCATCAGTCAGACCTGCTGAACTGATGTGCGCCTCTGGGACAACGCCTGTTCTCTGAATGAGCAGTGCACTGAATGCATCACACTGGTGCTAATGTGGTGCAGGGCGAGGCGTTAGACAGGTCTCTGTGGTGAGGCAGTTCTGAAGGTGCTCACTCCTGACAGTCTCTGGAAGATGGAAGCTGAAGACAGATTGCCCTTGATAATTTGCTTGCTGCAGTGCCGGCGGATTTAAGAGTGCTTTGTTTTTTCTTTCCTCCTTCATTTAGACCTGTGCATGGAAAAACAGGAATCAATATTTATTACCCCTGGATTAGGAAAGCCATTAAAAGGCGGTAAATGATTATTTTGAATTGTACTTATTTAAACATTGACCTTGAGATGTGTTTCTTTCCAAAGGCTTTGGCTGGTGTTTGTGGAAAAGACGTTTTCCAGTTATGCACATTGTTCTCCTTATAACTGAATGTCCGAAATTCCTTTCTCTTTTTTTTGGTCCTGTTGTTTTCTCAAATGTCTTAACCCCCCCAGTCCCCCTGTTCGTCTTCTGTTTTACAGTTTGTTTTGGTGAATTGCTTTCTGTGATTGTGTTGTTTGTTTCGAGCCGGATCTATCAAGGCCATCGCACACCCTTGCAGCTCATTTGAAAAACCGAGCCGAGAGCGAGTTCGATTTCTTTGATTCTAAAATCGCCATGAAGCTCAAGAGAATGAGATTTCTAAAAGTCGCTCCGTGTGCCTCTGCCTTGATACCTCTGGATCTTTGTTTTATCCAGTTTGTTTTTTTAATTGCTTTAAATGATCCCTTTTTTCAGATTTCAAATTATAACAAATCCAGATATCTCCATTGTTGAAGGCCCCCAAGTGATTCATGTCTGAACTGCTTCCAGGTTAGACATCCTTTCATCTGTTTCAAACACACTGTCTTGTGGGTCTGACAGCCGGGTTAAACTTGACGTTTTGTTCAGAAAATCATTAGATTGATGAGACGTTTAAGAGATGGTTACATTTACTGTATTGTATGTAGTGGTCGATCTGGGAAACCGCAACACTCCAGCATTAAATACGCACAAGTCCAGGTAGAATATTTGTCAGCTTTAATAAAACAAATGTGTGTTTTTGTGAAAAATGTTTTTTTATGGAAAGAAACAAACACTGTTCCTGTGCCTCCTGGTTTGTGTTTCAGTGTCAGCTTCTCCTTGACTAAATGATTTAATTTCTGACGAGGTTCTCTGCCCTTGATCGTTTGATTTTATAGACTGCTTTCAAAACTCGGGTTTTTAAAACTTGGAAGATGGGTTGTAAATTTCAGATACATTTATTGTTAGGTTGTTTAAGCCTTTTATTGTATAAGGAAGAGCAAATGGTCAGAACAAGAAAAGTCCTGTGGACGAACTTCGGGTGTTGCTGGTTTAGGCCCCTCAAAACATTTTTTATTTCATTTGTCCTTTATTTCACTGTTGAAATGTCCGGTTTTTATAAATGGCTTGTTTTTCAGATGTCTGATGTAGGGTTTGTCAGTGTCACCGGTAGTTTTGTTAGACATGAGTGATGACCCAGCAAATTAAAATGTCTTGTTTGGGAAAACCAGGTATTTCTGTTTCTTAAGGAAAGCTGACTGACTGGATGTTATCAGACAGAGCCTCGATGCCGTGTGGGGCAGTATCAGGGCCTATCAGTTACACCTTCAGCCTTCAGCATCTGTTTCTTTCCGGAAAATAACCTTTCAAGGAAATCGTTTCTTTCTAGGAGTTGGGTAAATGGGAAGGCACACCCGGCAATCTGTCTGCCAGTGATCCCACCAGGAAAAAATAACTGCATTAGTTGAGGTGTACAACTCAAAGCTGGTGTCTCGGGTTTGGTGTAGCACAGTTTCTGCCGAGTTGGTATCTGCTATCAAGCTCTTTTTTTATTGGATGTCAGTCTTTTTTTTCCCCCGAAACTCCACCCCAACTGTTAATGTTTGTCAGTTTATATTATGTATATGCTCACTGTTATGAAGCTGACCTAGGTAGAGCTGAAAAGAAGTCAGGTGGCTGGCCCTTTCCCTTTGCAGTCTAGCCAGTGTGGCGGTTGGTTATCTCTAGGTCCACAGGCTGGGAGGAGCTTTTCCAGCCAGGAGGCAAGGCTGCACAACAAGGTGTTGTCTCCCTGGAGCCTCAGGCACGTATCTGGATCTGACCCTCTCCCTTTCCTCAGCTGGCTGTTGGGATCTGTTGAAGGATATTTTGAAGAGATGTGTGTAGATGGAGCCGTAGGAGGCTGGGGTTTCTCATGTAGAGAGGAGGTGCTGCTTAGTCTTGTTGGCAGAGACAGTGCTGCTGGCCCGAGTGCCCTGGAGAAGACTATAACTGTGATAGGAGGGCCATTACTGTCGTTTTCTGACTGTCCGACTGGAAATGGCTGTATTTGGATCACGTAATATCTTCAGAAAGGAAGACGGCTTATAGACTGAAGAGTTGAAATATAGGCTTTTGAGAATTGTGACAGTGACATTTCTAGAACCTTATTAAATGAATTTTAATCATGCAGATATAGGAGTTAATTTGTTCTTACAGGTTCGCTTCCACAGAATTCTCAGTGTACATACATTAATCATGGGAGACGTTACATACTTGGGAAATATTTATAACCACACACTTAGTGCTTCAAAGACCTCTAGCCACAGCACAGTTTGTATTGATCTTCAACACATTTGTCTTGCTTTTCTGAAACCCAGGAAGGGCTTAAACAGGGCTATAGATTACATATGAATATTGGATAGTCTTTGGACCAGTGCTTTTCTTCCAGTGAATTGCTAGAAAGTTATAACTTGCGAAAATCGCAGTGCGAGAGATCACTGGTTTTCTTTGTCTCTGCTTCTAGTGGACTCCTCTTCAGACGTGATGTCGGTGTGCGTGGCATCGAACGCTGGAGCAACAGACGTGGTGAACCGGAACGGCCCGGCCACCCCGCCAAACTCGCTCAGCCTGCGTTCCTCTCACAACGAGCTGCTCAACTCCGACGTCAAGCACTCGGAGGTGAAGGGCACCACTCCTCCGAAGTGCCGGAAGAAATATGCCCTCACCAGCATTCAGAGTGCCATGGGCCTGAGCGAACCGGCTTCTCAGCCGTTGCTGGGCAACAGTGTCAACTCCAGCTCCTCTGCCAATCCCAAACTGGCCAAGAATGGCGAGAACCAGCTCCGTAAGGCAGCAGAGCGCCAGGACCTCAACAAAAACCCGGCTCCCGCCGACGGCCGCAACATCATCTCCGAAAAGCTTGAGGGGAAAGAGGGGCCCCACCAAGGTACGGCTCCGCCCCGCAGGACCAAGAGCTTCCTCAACTACTATGGTGTCCTGGGTGACTCCACTCTGGAGGGACAGCCCCTGCTGGTGGATCGCAGCAACTCCAACCCGCCCAAGGACCCCCCCAGCCCTGGAGACGATCCCCCGGCCTCCAAGCACTCCATTGGGTCGGCCAGCCCCGAGGACAGCCAGATCTCCGTGATGTCCTCCTCCAGCCCCGAAACCAAGAAGGATCAGCCCAAGACGGGGGCCAAAACGGACTGCGCGCTCAACCGCATCCAAAACCTGGCCCCCAGCGATGAGGACTCTAGCTGGACAACCCTGTCGCAGGACAGCGCCTCCCTCAGCTCTCCAGAGGAAGCAGGTATGGTCCCGACCCATTTACTGACCTTTGAGGCAGCTCTTCGTTTATCTTTATTAACTCAGACATCGCTGCCTGGAAGCAAAATAAGGAAACGCAAATGAAGAGTGCACCGTATTCGAAGAAAAAGTCAGTCCATAGAACTGGCCAAGATGTAGAATGTGTTGTTTCTAAAGGTGTTTTAACTGACACCATCATTTCATCACTGCCCTCCAGATGGTGTGAATTCCGAGTGTGTCGAGAGAAAATTGAATTCTTATGACTCTTAATTTTGCTGCTTGTCAAATCCTAATCCAGAACTCTACACTCTTTTAATACTGCCTGTGCAGCGAAGCACACTTTTTTCCAGACGTTTACAGTGTTTCTTACTGCATGTGTTGTGTGAATGAAAAGAATTGTGTATCGTCCGATTTTGGTTGCCATGGACGGAAACTGAAAGTTGGTAAAAAGGAAATAAAGTGGCCGTGTGTTGTTGGTGTCTCTGACCCCATGAGTGGGAGAGGTTTGTTTGTATGATCTGGGCGGCAGTTATGTTTATGTTGCCTTTCTTAAGGCTGTGTGCATGTGAAGCAACAATATGTAACTGGATGACAAGGTTGGAAGTTTAGGTCTCACGATTAAGGCTACTACTAAAGGCACTTTACATTTTTATTGGTCTGTTACATGTGAAGATGCACATATATTTTTTTTTTTTTTACTGTACTTAAAAGATTTATTTTTGTGTTATGTATTGTATGCAAATCACCGTATAAATGGGGATTTCTTAATAAATAAGGCCCTTCTGAAAAATTGCCCCTGGTGTGAGTGTGGACATATCTGTATGTGGCCTGCGATGGACTGACGTCTCATCCTCTATGTATCTTGTCTTGTTCCTGATGCTTACTGAAATAAACTCCGCTTATGACCCTGAATTGGGTGAAACAGGTAGAAAATGGTTGGATGGAAGAAACTTTGTTCTGATACCGATTTCAAGTGAATATTTTTAGATTACAGATAGCAGTGCACTCTTCACTTCCTCCTGCAGCTGTCCCTTGGTTCATGGGAAGCTTTTTATAAAACATTGTGCGTTCGGTGTCCATCTGGCTCACAACACTTCCAGAGAGCAGAAGTGTTACCTCTCGGTTTGAAGAGCCTGTTGCATGATGTTTACAGCTGTGCTTGTTGTCTGAAAAAAGCAGTTAAACTCCCATGGCTTTCTGCTGGAGCTGAATATCAATGGCAGACGTGATCCGCTGAATTTGTTGTTAGTGCTTAGACTCAAGGCGCAATTAAGATTCAGGGCATAACTAAGAAAAATACAAAAAAGGCAACTGGAAAAAAAAATCTTCAATGCTGATCTCTGAATAAATGCTAGGAACGTGCTGTGAAATAAATTTGAACCATTGAGGAAATGTGCTTTTCAAAGGGAGAGTTAAGTGTGGCACGCGGTAAGGTTAAAGGGAAACACTGCAGCAATAGAGGAGCTTCATACTGTATGTGGTGATTTGCCATCAGTATTGAACATAATGTCTTCCTCATAGCTCGTTGTTCTTGGGTTTTTCCATTCGGTGCCGTCTTCAGTGGGAACTGCATCCAACATTTTACCGTCACATCTGCATACAGACAGAAAGCACTTAGAATGCATCTTAAGAAACAAAATGACACATTTGGTTGGTCTGTTATAATCCAGACAATGCTGTTCTTTCATTTATGGTGACTTGTTTGCCACATTTGTCACATTGTCACTAGGTAGTTGTCTACTGAAGGAGTTAGGTAAGGAGAAAGACAGCACTTTATCAAACAAAACAAACAGCACCTACTGTAGATATAGAAATGGAAACTTTTAAGGCCAACAGATATGCATATGATGCAATGGAGGCTTAAATAATATTTTTCTCAGCATTTCAACACCAAGTGAGTGGTAAAGGATGAAGTAAAAATGAGAATCCTTCAGGTAAAGTTCTGAAGTTTAGGGAAAATGCCATAATGGGCATCAAAATAAAAATATCACTCTGTACGTGTACTGTGTGTTTTAGAGCAATATAATACACATTTGGCATAGTGAGTAGATGCATTTGCTTGATGTTTGATTAATCATTAAACCACCTCGATGATGAAGTGACCTGATGAGATCTACTCTGTTTACAATTTTGATAGAAGAGTGCAGAGAGGAACCGACAAGGCCACTTATCAAGAGCACAGGGCCTTTGGGCTGCCTTTGTTTGGAGCAAGATCTCAGTGGACCTCCCAAATTGCCAGCAGCCATATCACTCTGCAACTCACAACTGGCAGCTCACTGGAGCTCAGCAGGTGTGAGCCTGGTCAGTACCTGGATGGGAGACATCCTGGGAAAAACTAAGGTTGCTGCTGGAAGAGGTGTTAGTGGGGCCAGCAGGGGGCACTCACCCTGCGGTCCATGTGGGTCCTAATACCCTAGTAATAGTGACACTATACTGTAAACAGGCACCGTCCTTCGGATGAGACGTAAAACCGAGGTCCTGACTCTCTGTGGTCATTAAAAATCCCAGGGCGTTTCTCAAAAAGAGTAGGGGTGTAACCCTGGCGTCCTGGCTACATTTAACATTGGCCTTTATCAATAATGGCCTCCTAATAATCCCCGTCTATGAAATGGCTTCATTACTCTGCTCACCTCCCCACTGATAGCTGGTGTGGGGTGAGGATTCTGGCGCACTTTGGCTGCCATCGCATCATCCAGGTGGGGCTGCACATTGGTGATGGTGGAAGGGATCCCCATTATCTGTAAAGCGCTTTGAGTGGAGTGTCCAGAAAAGCGCTTGTATATAAGCACACTTATATATACAATATATAAGTGTAAGCAATTATTATTATTATAAATGTAGAGCCAAGTCCTCTGTAGTGATGAGCAAAACCGTTCTGTAAACCATCCTGTGGACATCACTGAGTACAGCACAAACTGTGCAGAAAGATACACTACTTAATGTGCACAGCAAGCCAGTCATTAGGGATCTCCACATGTGATGATCTGTTTAGGAATGTCTAGTTGCTACAGGACTCGTACTTGTAGGGATGGATGAATGATGCACTAATCTCCTTTGAAACCTTTATCTTCTTAAGGCCTACTTTCAGTTGAAAAGTAGATTAACAGTTGACTTCAGCTTTAAAATCTGAATGTAGGGATTTTCCTAAAGTTAATCTGCCACATTATGACCCTTTTCTGCACTGAGGCGATTTGTAGGAGGTGCTGAGCAGATCTTATTTACCTTAATCTCTATCTGGTAAACTCCAGAAAACAAGATAGTCTTTACCTGATGGATGACTAATAAAAGGGAAATCTGCTGCTGAAATACTTCACTTTGACTGCTATTTGTGCACGTCTTGGGCATCTTTGCTTTTATTTTAATTTGGGTCATTTTGGATAGTGTAGCTCAAGGAGTAACCTCCAACAGGATGGTGCTTATTAACCAGCTTGCTCACAGCTCAGTTTGTAAATGTGAAACTGTGACACATCCCTGCTTCTTTGCACCAGCCTTTTACATGAGTGAATTTGACCTCTTTTGCTGTTTACTGTATATATCTCTTAGACCAAGGTTCGAGATGGAATGGGGTCACAAGTTTGCTGTAAGTTGGATTTACTACAGAAATTGCTTGGTGTGCAAGTCGCTGAGGTTGCTACAGGGTTTAAAGGGTGGAGAGAATAATTGAATACACCCTTTCCGTAGCAGCTAGGCAGAAGTCTGAAATCTCTAAGGTTTATCCACTGACTTGCATCAGTCGGGTTCTGAAGGGGAATAGATATCTACCCTAAAACAAACCACATCCAGAAAACGAAGATTAATGATACATAAATTGTACAAGTGATTTTCCCTAAGGGATTTGCCTATTTTAATAGTTATCCATTAAGTGTGGACATTTTATCCTACTGGATAAAAAAAATACTTTTGGGGGGAATATGTCAAGAGAGGAATCAGATGCCGCTTTTACAGTAGGTGCAGATTGTCATAGTTCCCTCACTGATGATTGATTATAGCAGCATTCTATAATCAGGAGAGGAAAGCCAAGCTGGTGCTGCCGCTATTACTGCCACACGTGTTTGTGCACTGGGTCACGCGTGCTGTCTCTCTGTGGGTGGCGTCATGCTGTGTTTGTGTCACTGTGGGCGGAGTCATGCTGTGTTTGTGTCGCGCTGTGGGCGAGGTCGGGAGTGCCTGCATTTGTTGTGCTGTGGGAGGAGTCGGGAGTGCCTGCGTTTGTGTCGCGCTGTGGGCGGAGTCATGACTGCCTGTGTTTGTGTTGCGCTGTGGGCGGAGTCACTAGTGCCTGCGTTTGTGTCGCGCTGTGGGCGGAGTCACGAGTGCCTGTGTGTCGCGCTGTGGGCGGAGTCACTAGTGCCTGTGTTTGTGCCGCGCTGTGGGCGGAGTCACTCGTGGTTGTGTCACTCTGTGGTTACTCATTGTCACTCTGTGGGCGGCGTCACGGTTTGTTTGTGGTCACTCTGTGGGCGGAG